GGCAATCTGAAGGCAGAATATCAGATATAGAAGACAGGATGGCAGTCAGTGACCATGCAAAGAAAGATCACTTAAAAACAGTAAAGGACCATGAGAAATCAATCTAAAAGCTCCTAGATGACACAAAGAAGAATAAGACTGATAGGAGTCCATAAAAAACCAGGAGAGAGGAAGTACAAATGACATAAAAAACTGTTCACAGAATTAATGACAGAAAACTTCCCAAACAGTGCAAAAGAATTGGACATACAAATAAGTAAGGCATATAGGACTCCAATTAGCCATGATCAAAAAAAATCTGCACTTAGACATATAACAATCAAGATCCCGGAAACCCAACAGAAGAACAAAATCCTACAAGCAATTAGAGAAAAGAAACAAGTCACATGCAAAGGAAAGCTCATCAGAATCACAGCAGACTTTTCAACACAAACTCGGAAGTCAAGGAGAGCCTGGAGTGAAGTACTTCAAGCCCTAAAAGAAAACAACCTCCAACCTAGACTGATGTATCCTGCAAAACTATCTTTCAAAATTGATGGGGAAATAAGATATTTCCATGACAGAGAACACCTGAGAAACTTCATGAATACCAAAGCAGAACTCCAAACGATTCTAAACAATATTCTAGAAAAGGACAACAAGGGACACAACTCCACGAGGCCCAAAAGAGCAAATTCATCAGGCAAGGCAAGAAATTAAAGGGAGGAGAAAAATAAAAAAGAACCAACAAGAGGAAAATAACATGACAAGTACAAGTCAATACAGAGCATGTATAACCATAAATGTTAATGGGCTCAATTCACCAATCAAAAGAAACAGACTGTTCATTTCAGATTCCCATTTGTGGATTGGGTCTTTAAATTTGGGCGGTCTGATTTTTTAAGTTCTTCATAGATTCGAGATCATAGACCTTTGTCTGAGGGACTGCTGGTGAAAATTTTTCCCACATTGTGGGTTGTCTCTTCACACTGCTGGTACTTTCACACAAAGAAGTAGAAATGGCAAATAAACATATGAAAAACTTCCACATCACTGGTCATTCCAGAGATGCAAATGAAAACAACGCTGAGATTCCACCTCACCCCAAAAAGTATGGCTGCTATCATGAAATCAACCAATAACAAATGCTGGCAGGGCTGTGGGGAAGGAGAACCCTGCCCCACTGCTGGTGGGAGTGTAGACTGGTCCAACCACTGTGGAAATCACTATGGAGATACCTCAAAGAACTAGGACTACAGGTCCCATTTGACCTAGCTATTCCCCTGCTGAGTATCTTCCCAAAAGAATTAAAAGAATCATACCACAGTGATATATGTCCACCCATGTTCATAACAGCACAATTCATAATAGCTAAAACTTGGAAGCAGCCCACATGCCCATCAACTGGAGACTGGATATAGAAAATGTGGCTTTTTGATAAAATGGAGTACTACTCGCCATATAAAATAAGAAATTTATAGCTAAATGGATGCACATTGCAGCCATACTTTATATATATATATGTTGGTACATTTTAGGTATAAAATACATTTACATTTATCATTGGGTGTTTGTACCAGAACATGATGCATCTTGGTTTTTATTTTCTCTCCCATTACCTGTGCACGCTTTACCCCCTCCACCTTTCCCTACTTACACAGAGTTTGATTCCATTTTTTTTTCTTTCTCATAATTTTTCCTTTCCCTTCTTCCCTTTCCCCTTCCCCTCCCACCATCCCCTAAACCTTGGACCTTTTCCTATTTCAAATTATCAATTATTCATTTTAATAATTTTCATTCTTATTTA